CTAGTATATACTGTACCGTTTTACTGACACTAATGTGATGAGCAGACCTAACATCACTGCACATTAGGACGTGAAAGCAAGCCATTTGAGCTGCATGCTGCACAGCCTATTAACATAATATAACAGTCATTGCTTAAGACAAATAAAAACACTGAATCAACTATAAAAAAAGGGTGGGAAAGACGTTGGAAGGACGTTCACATGATTGTCATGGCAATGACTAACTCCATTCTGATCACATTAAAACACCCCAGCCCCATTTCAGCAGCGAACAAACAGGGGAAAGAAAAGTGATCGAGTTTCTTTGGCTGTTCTGTAATGCTTTTCCTTGGCTTGGCTGTTCCTTAATGCTTGGTGTATAAAAACAGGTCAGCTGGCAGGGATCATGAATATAATCATTACCGATGAGCCTTCAAAGTCCTACATAGCTGGCCTTGTGGCCTGACTCCATATAAGACTGCACACCTAATTCATGTCTAAACAGAGCTGTATTATAAGTTGCTAGGTGACTGTGCCTCTCCTGTCAAACACAAGGGTTGGATACACATTAATAGGATTAGCTCACCAAAGCACTTTTTATTTCACTAAAAACAAAAAGGAATAAAATAATATATTTTTTTTAATCAGTTACAGTAATAAGAACTGTGAAATGTAAATCATTGATATTCTTCAGTGTACTGTTGTAAGTAAATCACTGAATCTAGTGTAGTGTTTCCCAAAAGCATCAAAAAATACATCTGTTAATTAACAAATTCCCTTTGTATACGAAATAATATAGAGAGAATTAAGTATGTAAAATAACCAACAAATACTGGCAGTTTATTACCAGGTTTTTGTACTTTAATTTATGACACCAACACTGACAACATTTTACTTCAAACTATTAAATATGACAATAAACAGACTTTTCAATATCAAAATATTTGAGAAATGATCAAGCAATTCAAAAGCACAAATAAAAGAAACAAAATACAGAACACTGTTACTTTACTGATTTGTTTACAGTTTAAGCTTAAGCAGATTATAGAACATTTATTGATAATATAATAGTTATAGTTTTTCTGTTATAGAAACTATTATGAAAAGTTATAGATTGTTGGCAACATTGATCTCTACAGTGTACTAATGCCCATAAGTGCATTTTTAAAAAGTGTTTTAGTGTCGGAAATCCTGAATAAAAATGTATAATCATTTCAGCTGTTTATAAATCGGACAGCCAAGGTATTTGTCAAAATTTTCACAAAATAACAATTAAAATGTTGGCTGTTTTACGAAAACTAACACAAATTATGCTACAAACTACTTCCCTTTTTGCAGCTTATTGGCAGTCTCATTTACTTTCTTTGTTTAACAGAAGAATGGAAATCAAAAAGGTTTTAAACAGCATCACAATGAGAATAATGACTACCTTTATATGTTGAGAGAAACTATTCATGTAACTTTGGCTGAATATGCAGTTCCTGTGAGAAGGAAAAACAAAAAGAAAGTAAAAATATTTGAGGATGCAGAGTTTATTGTATTCCTCAGGGACTGATTTATCATGTAAAAGAAACATTTAATAACTGAGTTTAACCCTTGTGCACTGTTTAAAATTTCTACCTTTTTGTTATGTTCGAGATAAAAACATCCACTGAATTAAACTGCTGTAAAAATGCATCAGATAATTTTTTTTGTGTGTGCATAAATCTGTTAATCGACTTCAGTCCTGATCAAAACTACTAAATCTTTTTAAAAATTTACAGGATTTTAACTCTTTAATTGCCAAATTCATAAATGATATCACTAAATATATATTTATATTTTTAATAGTAATTGTGGATTTTTTTTTACCTTTTATCACAGTCTTGGACATGTGAACGATTAGTAACAACATTGGCTTTAATGAATTGTTAGATTTTCATTTTCTCTCCCAAATTTTCTGTTGATGGCCTATCTGAAGGGTTAATGGTGCCAACTGATGATCTACAGTAAAAATTGCAAATTGTACCTCTTCCCAACAGGGGCTTCAATGAAGGAAAAATAGCCATCAACAGTAAAATTTTTAAATCAATCAAAAACAATATATAAAAGGCAGTGTTGTTTCACATGTCTAAGACTTTGATAAAATATTTTTTTAAATACAGTCCACAATTACTTTTTATATTAAAAATACATAATTATGTGTTTTCTTCACCAAATCAGTGACATTTACGATTTTGGCAATTTTCTTTGTAATTTAGTAGTTTTGATCAGGACTGAGGTTAATTAACAGATTTATGCAAAAGTGTTTTTTTTTTTTTTTTTTTTTTTTACAGCACTTTAATTGAGTGGATGTGTTCATCCCTAACATAACAAAAGGGTAGTAAATTTTCCCAGAGTGTATTGTTGAGTTTTTTTTTTTAATCTAAGCATTTTCTCAAAATAGTGTCAAAATAAGATTTGTCACCAAAAATCATTCAGCTAACTGAAACAGAAAAGGTTATGGCCAAAGTAAGACTCAAAAAGAGTGGATGAAAACATCCCCAATAGTACATAAGGGTTATTAGAGTTTAACTGAGTTTTATTAAACCAAACAGATCAGAGAGCAAACAATGCAAAGTATCCTTACTTTTTCTGTTTCTATGCTGGATTTAATTTTCTAAGCTACTGAAATTATTCATTCACTCATTCTCTTTTCAGCTTTGTCCCTATCTGGGGTCGCCAAAGCAGAATGAACCGCCAACTTATCCAGCATTTTTTATGCAGCGGATGCCATCTCTGGGAAACATCCACACACACTCATTCACACTCATACACTCATACACTTCAGACAATTTAGCCAACCCAATTCACCTGTACGGTACCGCATGTCTTTGGACTGTGGGGGAAACTGGAGCACCCGGAGGAAACCCACGCGAACACAGGGAGAACATACATGCAAATTCCACACAGAAACGCCAACTGACCCAGCCAAGGCTCGAACCAGCGACCTTCTTGCTGTGAGGCGACAGCACTACCTACTGCGCCACCCCTACTGTAAATATCCGTGATACATTTCAGTCCTGTATTAAAAAAAGTTTGCCTATGAAAGGCACCAGCTATTCAACAAATTTATCAGGGCCTATATTTCAGAATGAGAGAAGAGTTCCTATCCATGTCAGCCTAGAATATAGCAACTTTTCGCTTTCCCTTGGTCTACACAAAGCTACAGAATAGTCAAGAAAAATTGAATAGGTAAATGATCAAAACTGGCATCACGGTGGTGCAGTGTGTAGCACTGTTGCCTCACAGCAGGAAGGCTGCTGGTTCGAGCCCCGGCTGAGTCAGTTGGCATTTCTGTGTGGAGTTTGCATATTCTCCCCGTGTTGGTATGGGTTTCCTCGGGGTGCTCCGGTTTCTCCCACAGTCCAAAGACATGCGCTATAGGTGAATTGAATAAGCTAAAGAACATCCGCTGTGTAAAACACATGCTGGATAAGTTGGCGGTTCATTCCGCTGTGGCAACCCCTGATAAATAAAGGGAATACACGAAAAGAAAATGAATGAATGAATGAATAACTTTAAAGAAGGTTTTGCTCCATTTCACATGTTGCATTCAACTTGTTGATTATTGTATATATTTTTTCCAACTCCTGGTATTCAGAACATTTCAGTTTTACAGATGTGTAATAGTATTATTAATTAATTTCTATTATTATAATGGTCTTGGCTCTTGATTCAGTGTTGCTCTACCTAGTTTTGGTCTTGGTCTCAACACCTAAATTATTTTTCTTGAGAAAACTTTCTTTCATTTTTAACACACACTGGAATAAGTCTTGTTTTGTCTATACTGTAGGTCTGGTCTCAGTTGAAGTGGTCTTGATAACAACATACCTTTCGTACAATGGCAAGGTTTCATGGATGTTAACGTTTGTTTGTGGAATCTATTGGCATTGATGCCACTGAAGAACCTTCATTTTCAAAATTGTGTGCATGTGTGAATGTGTGTGCTTGTGTGTGCCTGTGTGTGCGTGTGTGTGTGTGTGTGTGTGTGTGTGTGTGTGTGTGTGTGTGTGTGTGTGTGTGTGTGTGTGTGTGAATTCTTCAGTGAGATAATGCTTTCCAGATGTGGTCAGTTGACCCAAAAGGTCGAAAGACGTATTTAGGTGAACCTGAAAACCTGAATATTTGTGTAAAGGACTAACTGGCAGTAAACACAAACATCTGACATTTAACATGGAACATCTTTTGATATATATGACATTAACAACTATAGTGATATCCAATAACAATAACACAAGAACAAGGTTCAGTTATAGACGAGTAGTAAAAATAACAAGCATGACTAAAACCCTGCACTATTTAGGCTACTTTCTGCATTCACGGCACACGTTTTAAAAACAAACCTATATGTCTGCTTTGGATTAAAAGCTGAAAACCTCTTCAGGACTCCACGTGTAGTGGAATATTTAAGTGATCAGCACAATTTGAGCTCTGTGTATTTTAAAATGCGTCCCAAAGGGTATTTGGGCCATTTGCTGGGTGTGATGTGCCGCATCATAGCAGCTTCTGACGTCAGCAGTCTGGGAGCTTCTCCTTCGCTTTCCCGATTGATCTTCGCTTCATGACGTCACGCAGCTGCGCAGGTATCCAAAAACCGAGATGCTGTAGCTCTAGCACTAACGCTCTTTTTATAGAGCGTTATTTTCATAATAAACCCATTTACAGAGGATTTTCAGTCATGTAGGTCATGCAAGCAACAATGGCCTTATTTAGACTGCGACGAATAATGTGTTTTTGTCATTCACAAGCGCCTAATAATTGAGAGAGGAGGAGGGAGCGAAATGTTTCCCATTCACATTATTAAAGGACACGTGCGTCATCGTATCCGTGCTCGTTTTTCCATACTGCAATCTGGACACAGTACAGCCGTCAATAAAACCTTTCTTTATTCAGTAAGGGCTTTTAGACTTGCGTTTAAAGAACTCCAGTATACTTGTGAAAGGGAGACATTTTGCGCAGCATGACAGAGCTGACACGGGAAATATTAATATTCATCTTACCTCTCGTGCTATTTGAATGAGAGCATCATCCTCCGCCGATAGTTTCTCCCGGTTGGGGATTCTTTTCCTCCCCGTTACTTGAGATGCCATTTAAAATCCCCTTATTTCTTACACAAACCTCTACAAAAAATGTCTGAAGTGATGTGATGTTCAGTTGTGTGCAGATAAAATATCACCCTTCAAAGTAGCATGGTCGTTGGGGAACAGCATTAATAAATGGTTATACTGTAACCACTAGCTAAAAGATGTAGAGCACTAGGACACATCTTTCCTTTGATGCTCCGTCGTCTCCATAATCCGCATAAATATATGGCGGGAGCCTGTTGCACATTCAAACGACACATCGATCTGTCAAAACATCACTGATGGGATGGGAAATGACAGTTTGCTGATGCGACGTGAGCACGATAGACTGCAGGCACTCCTGAGGGTAGAACCGGTCATCCCTTAATATCCCGTCCAACAGTTCGATGTAACGTCAAACCGGAGGAATAAAGAATAAAAGTCGTCAGTCCAGAGCGGCGTTTGTTTCTAGGGCAAAGCGAACCCGGATGGTAAGCGGCCCTGAGATCCAGCAGCAGCCCAGTGACACGCTCTGATTTCAGCCTGTGCTGCTGGACGCTGCGATGAGAGTGGGCGGGTCTGTGGGCGGGGCCCGTTTTTATTTTTATTATTTACGCCTACTTTCAATAATTGACAATATCTATCTATCTATCTATCTATCTATCTATCTATCTATCTATCTATCTATCTATCTATCTATCTATCTATCTATCTATCTATCTATCTATCTATCTATCTATCTATCTATCTATCTATCTATCTATCTATCTACATCTTGTTTTATTAGGTAAATGGTGCTCTGAACTGGTGCATTAGCTCCATCAAGAGGCTTTATTAGACAACTACATCTCTTTTTGTGAAAAAATTAGCAAAAATAAAATTAGTTTAGCAATAATACTTTTGATATTAAGCTGCTATCTTTATTATTAAAATGAATAATTATTATATTATATTATATTATATTATATTATACTATATTATAGTACATTAATGTTGTTGTTTCTGCTGTTATTGTTATATATATATATATATATATATATATATATATATATATATATATATATATATATATATATATATATATATATAATTTGTTTATTTGTTTGTTTGTTTATTTATTTGTTTGTTATCCGTTTATGTCCACCAGAGTTCACCAAAATGCTCTATAGTTTGTTTTTTGTTTTTTTCCAAGTCACTAGATGCATTTCTCAAATCATCAATAATTGTTAAGACGTGTGTATTTCTCAAAACAGCTGTAAAGCCAACATGACAACATGGCCTATTGTACCCTTATTGTACATTTGATATATCCCTGGTATGTCCTTGGCCTCTGTTATGGAATTGAGAAATACTAAAACTCAAAGTGGGTGCAAATGTTTTCTTGCAGAACTAAGGATATATATTTTACCTTAAGAAAAGATACAATTTCAGTGCTTGGCACAACAACCAATTTTAAAAATGCAGTAAAATAATTGCACATATATACTATTTTAAAGGTTAAAACTAATATAACTTATAAAATATGAATTTCTGCATGTACTGTGTGTATATATTTCTACAGTATATTCTAAGTTATAAAAAAGTATACCTTTAAAGCAGTATATGTGCAATTATTTTACTGCATTTTTCACTTACTGTACTGCAATTATACTACAAGTGAACACATAGTTAAACAGGTTACTAGTTCAATAATTAAAACATTTATTTAGTTCATGAAATTATTTGCTGAAGTATTCAATAAACTAGTTTTTATTCTGTACAAACAACTGTAAGTGTTCTTTAAGCCAGCTTAACATCCTATCTATAGTTTAATAATAATGCAGAATATTTTTTCATGTAATGGATAAAATTAAAACTTAATATGAATAATAAGTAAAAAGTTGTATTATTTATCGTTACCGTATGTTAATACTAGAGTAAATTACTATAGCTACGCTGTAAAAAAATATCTGTTAACATTTTCCTATTTTGTGATTTACATTTCACCAATGGTGGAAAGAGTACTGAAAAAGCATACTTAAGTAAAAGTACCATTACTTGCCTAAAAATGTAGTGTGAGTAGAGTAAAAGTATCTGTTGTAAATATTACTCAAAGTATGAGTAAAAATTAGCCCTTTCAAAAGTACTCATGCTAATTGATAGCATTCCTTGCACAATAGATGTCTTTGGTTAGCATGATTTGTATTAGAAACATCTGTTAAGTTCAGAAAAAGAAAAGCCAAATATTAGGGGGAAAAAAGTAAAGTACTTGTTTAAAGATGGTCTTCTCCGGGGGTACGAATTTTCACATTTCAAAACATTTATAATGTGATAGTGTTTTCAGAGGGAAAAAAAGACAATTATTTGCAGTACATTTATTATTAAAATGTCAAAGCTGATAGGGCAATCTGATAAACAAAGATGGCAAGGAAATGTAATGGAGATTAATGGAAATTAATCCTATTTTTTTTCTTTGCAAAAAAAACTGTTGTTCATGTCTCCTAATAGTTTTAAATGGGTTGGCTGATATTATTAGCTCAAACACAAAGAGTTTTACAATCCCAAAAATGCACAGCATATGTAAGCCAGTTATACATAGTTATCAGGACTTGTGATGATTGATAATTTGCAATACATCCTTTGGCTGACAAAATGGATGAATGTACTGTAGGTGGCAGGTGTGGATAGACTGACGAAGGTCTAAAGGGATAATCACAGAAGTAACAGCAACAGAGAAGTGATGTCCTCTTTACACTTAAAAGTGCACTCTGCTTGATGAAAAATCTTGGGGAAACTTCCTTTTTTGTTGCATACTCACTGCCTGAAAGTAAATGTTCACAAATATATAGTGAGTTGCAAATCTGGAAGAAAGCAGATTTAAATGTAATTTTTTTAACTAATTATTTGAACGGTTCACCTTTTTCTTAGCTTTATCAATTGATAATCCTTTAGCACTTAGAGCAGCTAACTTGCTCTCAATATCCGAGACCTGATAAATGAATAAAAGACAGAAGATAAATAAATGGAGAGACAGACAAACAGACAGATCTTTTACTCAAGTACACGAGTACAGATTATACACCACTGCAGATAAATGGTTAGTGTGATTTTACCAATTAGGACATGTTCCTAGATCAGCATCTATGTTGATACTGGAACAACATTCCAAACAGCCAATCAGAGCTAAGGGATATGTTTAAAGTTCATGTTAGGTTTGGGCTTACAGTTAGGGTTATGTTCATCTACATCAGGGGTTCCCAAATTTTCAGCCCGCGACCCCCAAAATAACAATGCCAGTGACTCGCGACCCCCAATATCCTCTGAGGTGGTTATAAATACAGAAACTTTGCATGCAATGACGCAGACACACCAATTAAATTTGTGTCAGTGCTTTAAATGTGCCAGAAAGTATAACCTGATGTTATAAAATCAAAATGCATCTGACGCTATTGCTGCCTTTAATATAATGTAATTACCCCAGGGGTCGCAATCTAATAGAACTAGTAACTATAAGCTACTATAGTAACTATATAGTATATAGTAACTATAAACTACAATTTTTATTTTAAATATAGTTATGGATAAAATAAGTTAATTCATATGGTTTAATAAAAATAAATAGATTTTTGGAAATCACCAGGCAACGTCCTTCATTGCCCCGAGACCCCTCGGGGGGTACCGACCCCCACTTTGAGAACCACTGATCTACATGACTGTTATACAAACTATTATTTTCAAATCACACCCACCGCAGAGGGATAGTCAGACAGACAGACAGATAGATGAACACCCTTATGTAAAAAAATTACTGTGTACTTCAAGTTAACTTTATTAAGTACACTTAAGTAATGTCGAAGTATATTTTAAGTATACTTCATGCATTAACCTCTATATGTATTAGTAGTATACATGTAATCAGTGCTTAATCTGAGCCAGATCTTGCTGTCAGATATTCATGTTTTGCGTTCCGGTATTTATTTTGGATCTGGCATTAACTTGTGCATGGTGAATACCTATGTGTGTGTGTGAGACAGAGAGAGAGAATGAGTGCAAGCAAAGGTTCTGTGGATTGTGTGTGCGCACATGCATGATGGTAGACACCATATGCCAATTAAAGCTAAAGTCACGTTTAACTATTTAACTATCCAATCGGATTGCTTATGTTTACAATCACTCTCATTGGTTGGTGATTGTTTCCAGCGAAGTGTGCAGCGAAGATAAATATTGGCATAGTGGCCTGCCTAAATAATCTTTGTAATTTTCAAAATGGCAAAGAGGCAGTCAAGCATATTTTAATTTTTTAAAACCACAAGCAAATCTGATAATGAGCCTAGGATCTTGGGAAGATGAAACTGCGCGAATAGATCAGGATAGCGGGAGACAGAAGCAAAGTCAGCCAGAAAGCATGACAGAAGAGATAAATGTGGGCCCTTCTTGATTCGACTGAGTGAATCATTTCATTATTTTTTTTCACTTTATTATCCTTTTTTACAGGATTATTATCCTGGCTAACCTATAACGTTATATGGCAAAAAAATAATTAAAGACCGTTAAGAAATGCGAAGTTCTTTTTTGCACTATGACCGTTTAATGACGTTATGATCCGGGAAAACTTAAATTGTTTGCTGGACGTCGGTCACAATAACGTTTTATTTCTAGGTTTTGTTGTGGTAATTATTCATGAACAAATTAAGCACGGCTTTTAATATAATGATATATAAATAATATATATATGTATAATTGACAACATTTGAGTTAATTGTAGGCACAACTGTAGAATAGTATTTAAGAAAAACCTCAAACACACTGCTTCTTTTTGTGACAACATGGGAAAATTAACAAACCAGAATCAACATAAAATTATTACAATTTGCTAAATTTTAATTTAAAATAAAAATATGCTAAATTTAGCAAATGTAAAATTATTGTTATGTTCCTTTTTTAGAGTGTATGTAAACTTGTAATTTCAACTGTATATTTACCTTATTATTCACATATAAACTGAAATCTTTTTGGCACGAGACCTAAAGTCTCATTCACTTCCATTGACTTTTAAATGGTAAAAATGGCTTGTTATGGTACTTGATATTGCAAACTTATTACATTATTTTTCTTTTTATCTATAGTCAGGAACACACTTGCTTGTTGAGCAAGCAGTTTGACCGTTTTCAGTCATTTATTATTCTAGTCATTTCTCCTATACGCAACTGATTCGGAAGTCCCAAAACAGTTGCAAAAGTTAGCACCCTTCTACATTGAAGAATAAGGTCAATACAGTATAAGTATAGTTTTAAGTGTACTATAAGTATAAAATCAGTACACTTTGGGTTCTTAACAAGTCCACAAGGAAGTTTTTCATTTGTACTGCAAGTGAACTCATGAGTAGGCCTATAGTTCTAGTATACTTTGGTAATACTTGTGGGAAAATAATTTTTACATAAACTTTATTCCATGCTCAGGATTTGGGCAGTGCATTTAATCAATAAAACCACAAACACACACACACACACACACACACACACACACACACACACACACACACACAAACTGGGGGTGGTGTCTCGAACATGTAACCTTTGAATCATATTTCTGACTCTTTAAACACTAGCTCA